ATGAAGCAGTAAATAAAATAAGAACAAAATAAAAAGTGACTAATTAGAAAATAAAAATGAAAGTAATAACTAGAAGCTGAAATGAAAAATTGCTGAACAGAGTATAAAAATCGAAACTAATAGTAAATACCAAATTGAAAAATTACCAAATGAAAAAATAAAAATTGGAAAAACAAATACAACATAATATACAAAACTGTCTACCAGAAAATAGAAATGAAAGTTCTGAGTAAAAACTGAAATTAAAAATTGCCAAATAGATTATAGAAATTAAAACTCCGAGTGGAAGCTTACATAAAAAATTGCCAAACAGATAGCAGAAATTGAAATGCCAAATATTATAGAAAATGAAAGTAAAAATTGTCAATTAGAAAATATAAAAATGAAAGTACTGATTTGGAAACTGAAATTAAAAATTGTCAAATAGAATACAGACATTAAAACATCTAGTGGAATCTAACATGAAAAATTGCCAAATAGATACTACAAATTGAAATATCAAATAGGAAATAAAAGTAAAAATTGCCAATTAGAAAATAAAAATGGAAGTACTGGTGTAGAAACGGAAATTAAAAATTGCCAAATAAAGTATAAAAATGGAAACTGTTATTAGTATTTGTACAAGTAAGTAGAGACCTGATATTAAAAATTGTCTATTATAAGATAAATTAAAGTATCACGAATTGAAACGAAAAAATGCCGAATGGAAAATAGGAATGAAAACTTTCGTAAGTATTTGCACTAAGTAGAGAACTGATTCTGAGAATTGTCAACTAAAAACTAGAAATGAGAGCACCAAGGGTGAACGAAAATGACGAATCGCCATACAGAGAATATGTCTCAAGATACGAAACGAATTAACAATTGCCAATTAGAGAGGAAAATTGAAAGTAAAGAAGGTAGGAAATAAAATGGCGGACTTAGCATAAAATAATAATGTAAGGGATGTTTTCGGGGTATGCAAATGCGGACTTACGGTCGGGAGTGCAGAGGGAAAATTTAGGGCGGCGTTGTTGTTGGTATAGAATTACCGAGAAGCAGTTCCTGGACGTGCTGAGGCATCACTGGTTTCTTCAAATGGCCGAGGTAGAGCTGCAACGCGGCAGCGCACTCGAGGGCCGCGTTGTTGTTGCCGAAATGAGGTTTCTCCCCCCTCTTCAACGAATTTAGGATTCGCGTTCTGAGCTCGCGGCGTCCGCCGCGCCGGAACAGACCCTCCACCCTCGCATCTTCAATGGGATACCATCAGAACTCTTACCCGTTTAACCCACTCTCCTTTTCCGTTACCCTTCTGCCGCTTACAATCCTTTCCTTTTTTTGGCCAGGAAATGGCCGCGCGGCCAAGAAGGGGCTGCCAGTGTCGCTTTTTTTGTCGAAAATAGTTTAAACTCGTTCGCGAAAGCGTTTTTGAAAGAGCAAAGGCGAAGCGGAGGAAAATAAATTAAATGGGAGAGGGTCGTTGGGAGACGCGAGGAAGAGGCGTTTTTCACAATAGAAAAATTGGAAAATGTCATTTAGGCAAGCCGGGCCATGTTTTTGGAGCATGAAGAAGAATATGGTTGCACGTTTTTCTAGAGGAAAATCGAAAAGGAGGGTGGCTTTCCAATAAATAGGAAGGAAATAAATATTTTGTAATAAATATAATAAATATTTTGTAATAAATATAATAAATATTTTGTAATAAATATAATAAATATTTTGTAATAAATATTTATAAATATTTTGTAATAAATATAATAAATATTTTGTAATAAATATTTATAAATATTTTGCAATAGATATTTATAAATATCTTGTAATAAATATTTATAAATATTCTATAATAAATATTTATAAATATCTTGTAATAAATATTTATAAATATCCTATAATAAATATTTATAAATATCTTGTAATAAATATTTATAAATATCCTATAATAAATATTTATAAATATCTTGTAATAAATAGGAAAAATCGTAATTGAATTAAAAATAACAAATGTCGGCAAAGAGGGTCTGTTCTGACCCAGTTTTTTTTGCTATTTCATTAACGTTGGACAGCGTAATCTAAACTTGTATTTTAAAAAATTAGAGTTTGAATAGTTTTCTAATTGTGGCTCAAAATGGAGACCTAACTTCCGGTTACTTTAGAATTTACAAAATCTAGCTTAAACCGTAGAAAAAAAACGCCATTTATATTTTCTAATCGGATCTTCCTTCGAATATTTAATTTTGAAAATAAATTACAAAAGGTCTGTGGAAAATGCCTCGCTCTCTTTAAGAATTGTTTAAACATGTTTAAATGTTCGTAATGTTGTAAAACAGTGTATCGTCGTAATCAGGAGAATCTGTAGAATTATTCTACTCAAGTATCACGCGTGTGGCATTCACGGTTAAAGAAAAATGAAAAATTTGCAATTAAGAAGCTAAAAGAAGTTGAAGTCGAAAGTTTGACGTTTCGTTTTAAAATGAAATTTTAGATCATAATGATTTCTGAATTTGTGGTAAAATCGTAAAAATGGTTACGTACGCTTCTTGAGGAAGGTTATGGTCTCCCTGACCGACTGCAGCGATTTCTTCGATATTATGTCGTCGTCTGCATCCTGTCTGCGAAGAAACATATCAGAAACTGAAAATTTCACAAAATTACAAAATTTTTTGATTTTTGTAGCCAAACATTACAATGACCTTTAAAAAAATATGGGTAAATATACACAAAATAGTGATGATCTTCAATACTTGGAAGAAAATGATTTCGAAAGAAAAGAAGAACATTAATCGTAATATTCTTAGCTCTGAACTCAAGAAAGTTGTGTGTGTCTTGGCACATACTTTTTATATCAGCAAAAATTACGAAAATATTTCATTATGCAGGGTAAAATAAAATAAACTGTGTAACACTAAATTTCCGAGTTTTGCAAAAATTGTCAGAGACGTTTAAAAAATAACGAAATATTTAATTTCTCACGGTTTTTAACCAAATAAATCGTACAACAATAAAACCTAAACACATTTGACGATTTCTTTGAGTTTTATTAATCAGTCTATTTGACATAAATACAAGTGAGATATGTTAGAATTTTATAAAATAACAAGAAATCCAGTAAAATCGAATGTAGTACTTCAGAACAGTCAATAATTTCATTCAACCGATCACAATAAATTTCATCGGGGAGCACATAATTATAAAATTCCAATGAAACTAATACAATAAATTTCATTAAAGTCCGCGTGTCCGCGATCAAATTAGGAACCCGGCGGAAGCTGAGAACCGGGTAGATCCGTGGCCATAAATAACGCAAAATAATATTCAGCCGGGTTAATTAAAAATAATATTTCATTGTGGACGCGGTGCGCGGCGCGGATCTCCATTATCCTCCGCCATTTTTAAAAACGCGATAGGACCGACCGACTCGTTTCCATTCCGAATTCCGTCAGGTAGTTTATTAAAAAGAAAAAATGAAACGCATAAAACAACGGAAAGAAATCAAAGCGTTCGGGCTAAGAAAAAACAATCGAGAGCGTGTTCGTGTCACGTTCGCTTTAACTGATTTATGCTGGCGATAATTAAAAGCAAGCTCGGCCGCGTCGGCCGACTTGTTAGTCCCGAGATAATTATTTTATCGGCAGGCAATTATAATTCTTACTTTACTGTGTTGCCGGTCGTGTGATCGCCGATCTTAATGATCCTAATTGCACCGATAACCTTTCGCAGCGCGTTGATTTTGTAATTAAATCCGCGCAGATCGACGAGCTTGTCGCGAGCCATTTTTATCCGCTGATATAAAACCGGAATACATTTATGAAATGTTACAGAATTATTTCTTCATTTATGAGGTTCTTGAGAATTAATTTATGAGAATTCGTGGATCGTATCGAGCAAAAATTTTAATAAAATAAATGATAGTACATAATATGTAGTAAGAAGATTATGTTAGCAAACAAACTAATTTATTCAATAGATTTTAAACAATTTTAGATCAGTCTTCCATTTTAAACAATTTTAAATTAGCCTTTGATCGCAAACAATATTAAATCAGTTTTCCATTTTAAAGAATTTTAAATTAGCCTTTGATCATAAACAATTTTAAGTCAGTCTACGATTATTACACAATTTTAAATCAGTCTTCAATTTTAAACGATTTTACACAGCTTGAGACAATTTTATTGAATTAGTCTTCGATTTTAAACAATATCAAATTAGCCTTCGATTTGTAACGTACTTAAATCAGTTTTCGATTGTAAACAATTTAAAATTAATCTTCCTCTCGAAACAGTCTTAAATTAATCTTCGATTTCATTCTTAATGCGAAATAAAAGCTTGCTAATTCAATTGTAAGAGATAGAAATTAAATAAAAATAAATATTTTCTTTTAAAAATTTCAGTAAGTCAACAAAAGCGCGATAGTATTCGTAAATCGATAGTCGAATAATCGCTGTAAAAAAGTGAATGCTACCAAAAATTGACCGTTTGAAATCTCCAGCCGAGACGAAACGAGTCGTCAATAACGATTTGCGACTTTCTTTCGCCACATTTGCAAACGACGAAACAAAATCACGTTCTCGATCGACGATAAAAGGGAACGGACGTCTTTTGCATCATCCCGCCTGCGATTTGTGGCTCAAGGACGCTCTCCGGAAGATCTTAACAGTGTTACAAATGAGAACGATTAAACACGTTAAACGAGAATGATGCAACTGGGAAGCATAACATCGCGCCGAACAATATTAAACAATCGTCCAATATTAGCTTATAAAGCAATCGTTAACAGGACAGCGTTTAATAGTCCGGTAGCATGATCGGAGGAATCGTCCCAAAAACCGCCCTGCACTGTCTGCTAGTGAACGCGATCCTGATTGCTGGATCGCCGGGGATCTACGCGAGTGATCTATCGAGGAACCGCAGGGATGCTTCCTGTCCCTCGTGCAGTCGAGATAGCCCAGCTGCCTTGGCAAATTGGTGAGAAACCGGAATCGGCACGGTCCACGCCAATTTTTCCAAATCAATTCGAACGATTTCTCAGAATTCGAACCGAATTGATCGACCTCTTTTCGAAACGAGCACATATGACGTTCCAAAGTGCACCTTTCCCAGAACTTTGGACAATTTTTTCACAGCGAGATCCTCGTAAACTGTCCAAACATCAGCCTCGTTCTACCCTCACAATGAACACATTTTCTTTCTTAATTTCTATTTCGTAAAATTTTCCTCGACAATGGATCGTATCGAAAAATCGTTAACGCTGCCGAACAAAGGAGACTTCAATCACCGAAACTATGCAATTTCTATCGAAAATAAAATAACATTTTTCGAACTGGTTGGGGAAACATTTCAGTTGGCAAAATTTCCAAAAAAATCATCTTCTAAAACGGAGTCGGAGTTATTTATATCTTAAAGCGTAAACGTTCTCGGTAATAAAAACAGACTAAACCTTAACTAACACACTGGGGTCATCGGTGATGTATTTCTATTGCGTTTTGTAGTCAAAATTTAATCATACATTTTTTTTATTTTGTACATCAACAAAGAATGAAATATTAATGGTGCTTTATTTAGAATTTGTAGTCTTTTTTGTGAAAATCATATTGTTCTAGTTAAGGGATAAAGGTGTGAAAGTGAACAATTCACGGAGTAAAAAGGTCCATTTCTGATCTAGGGACTTCGATGATGTTCTATTTGATATATAGGGATTTTTATGATATTCTATTAAACACATAGGAACTTTGATGATGCATTGTTTGTGATCTAGTGTTTTCTATTATTTTCTGTTTGAGGACTAGAGACTTTGATTTTTCTTCATTTGTGATTTAGGGGCTTCCATGATGATATTCCATTTGATATAATATATAGGGACTTTTACAATGTTCTATTTGACATATAGGACACATTTGATGATGCCTTGTTTTCGGTCTAGAGATTTCTGTTATTTTCTGTTCGAGGACTTTGATTTTGCTCCATTTGAGATCTAGGGACTTCGATGATATTCTATTTTATATATAGGGATTTTTACGATGTTCTATTTGATATATACGGACTTTGTTGATGTATTGTTTGTGATCTAGAGATTTCTATTATTTTCTGGTTAAGGACTAGAGACTTTGATTTTGCTTCACTTGAGATCCAGGGACTTTGATGATATTCCGTTGGATGATACATAGATTTTTACGCTATTTTTCTTTAGATTTAGAGACTTTGATGATATTTCTTTTGCATACTCGGGACTTTTTTATATACCGTTTAAAAAGCATTACTATAGCTGGTTTGTAATCTAGGGACTTTCATGATGTTCCCTTTGAATATTGGAAATCTTGTTTGCAATCTAGGAATTTACATTATTTTCTGTATGAGAGATCTAGGCACTTTGATGATGTTCCATTTGAGGTACAGGGATTACTATAATATTTATATTTGAGATGCAATGATTTCGATGATTCTTGCTTGCAATCTAGGGATTTTCGTTATATCCCGTTTCAGGTTTACTGTTTTTCATTACACATCGATCGAGATCTAGGCACCTCGTTCCGTTTTGAAATCTAGGAACTTTTTGATTTCGTTTCAGGGACTCGTTGCCATCTTCAAGGGTTCCACGGCACGATGATGCAGAATCTACACTATGGTACAGCGGCAAAGGACGGTCCCGGCAACCAAAATACCGCACCAACCTCTTCTCAGTCAATTCCTATAATCCATATTACGGAGCCGCTCGAGGCAGAGGTGGCGCAGAAGTCGGCAGGGCCTGGGGCGCCGGCGGACGCGAGGGTTCCCACGCTCTCCAATCCTGGAACATCTATCCTGACCTGGCTCCTGCACCAGCCTCCCCTTTTCGCAATATAAAAACGTCGAATCCACCTGTGGCGCCGTTTCAACCCCTTGACCCAGACTCCAGTCCGCCGTTTCAACCGCTTTTTCCAGATTCCAGTGCACCATTTCAACCCCTTCGCCCAGGCTCCAATGCACCATTTCAATCCCTTGGCCGTGGCTCCAATGCACCGTTTCAACTCTTTGGCCCAGATTCCAGTGCACCATTTCAACCCCTTCGCACAGGCTCCAATGGACCGTTTCAACCCCTTGACCCAGGCCTCAATGGACGATTTCAATCCCTTGGCCCAGGCTCCAAAGGACTATTTCAACCCCTTGGTCCTGACTCCAATGCACCATTTCAACCCCTTGGCCCAGGCTCCAAAGGACTATTTCAACCCCTTGGTCCTGACTCCAATGCACCATTTCAACCCCTTGGCCCAGGCTCCAAAGGACTATTTCAACCCCTTGGCCCTGACTCCAATGCACCATTTCAACCCCTTGGCCCAGGCTCCAAAGGACTATTTCAATCCCTTGGCCTAGGCTCCAAAGGACTATTTCAACTCCTTGGCTCAGGCTTCAAAGGACCGTTTCAACCCCTTGGTCCAGGTTCCAATGGACCATTTCAACCCCTTGGTCCAGGTTCCAATGGACCGTTTCAACCCCTTCGCCCAGGCTCCAATGGAATGTTTCAACCCCTTGACCCAGGCCTCAATGGGCCATTTCAACCCCTTCGCCCAGGCTCCAATGGACCGTTTCAACCCCTTGACCCAGGCCTCAATGGGCCATTTCAACCCCTTCGCCCAGGCTCCAATGGACCGTTTCAACCCCTTGACCCAGGCCTCAATGAGCCATTTCAACCCCTTCGCCCAGGCTCCAATGGACCGTTACAATCCCTTGACCTAGGCTCCAGGGCTCAATTGAGGAAGCTCGGCCTCTTCGATCCGGCAGAGCCTAATTTCACATCGGTGAATCGTGGATTCCTCAACTATGATCCATCTGATCCATCGAAATCAATTTTCGAGGACTCTAATACGGGAACATCGATGGTCCTCCGAGCTGACAAGTACGACGACGACGACGACGACGACTCCAGTGAGGAGGATCCTGTTCCTCTTTACCCCTCGGACTACCCCAGAAAACAGTTCGATTCGAGGACAGACGTTTTCGAACTTAGGAGACCAACAGTACAGTTGGATAGAACCGAGTTGATCGGGAGGCCCTCGAGGGTATACGGTGGGCCCCGAGTAATGTACGAAGGTAATTATCGGCTGGATCGATCCAAGGAATCCAGGATTACCGATAGACCAAGCGAACCCCAGAAAAGTCAACATCTTGGGGCTGTGTTGAGCCAGGGACTTGTCGAGTTGCTGGAAGATCAGTCTAGGGACCTCAGAGTCGGTAAACCTCAGATAGATCAAACTCGGGACAGCAGAATGGCGCAGCGACTTAGCGTTTTGCCAGAGAACCAGTTCAGGGAGTCGAGGATGGAGCAAAACCATAATCAACTTCAGGACCTTAGAATGACTCACGAGCTCGGACATGTCCAAGGGAATCAACTTAGGGACTCTAAAATGGCTGATAGGTTCCGGCAGCATCAAGATGCTCAGCCCAAGGACTTCAAGATGGCTAACAGGTTCGGCCAAGGCGATCAGTTTAGGAACTTGAGGTTGGCTGACAAATTGATTAAATCTCAGGAGAAGCCGTTCAGAACGTCCAGCGTAATGCACGTCCCGGACACTGGATTCACTCCCCAAGATCAGTTATCGGAGCAGGACATTTTGAAGATCATGCAGCAGATCGGAGCCATGGTTACCAACCGTAGCACCGCAGTGGAGCAGAAACGTGGTCAGCAAGAGGTTAAGATTTCTAGCGATCACACGGACGGGAGTCCCGATTCACCGAAGAAGGACGAGGCTAAGGAGAAGAGGGATACCGTGGATGAAAAAAATGTTCCAGTGAACGCGAACGACGGGATATTCCTAAGTCATATCGATTATGATCTGCCGGAGGAAATGACCACACAAACTCTGGAAAATCGATATCATGCCTGTTACTCGATAACCGAAGACTACAATAGAAAGAGTCTAGGGAATAATGGGGATTACTTTTAGTAATTGTTACTTTAAGATAGTGGATATTATTTTTAGTGGATTGGCAATTGTTGCTTTTTGTAGTNTATGTCTTCTCGAAAATTTACATATCTACATGTAATTTTAGTGACGCCTTATTTCAAATTTATTTTGTATAAATATAATTGTTTATGCTTCATTTATTTGTTCTATATACGCATCATTACATATGCTTTAAATAAATGCTGTCTTAATTGTTATACTTTAAAATTGATTTTATGCTATTAAATTATTATGCTAACTATTATTATCATTATTATTATATAATTATTATCATTATTATTATATAATTATTATTATATAATTATTATGCTANAATATTGGGAATTATTTTTAATAGATTGGCAATTTATACTTTCAATACTGGGAATTATTTTTAATAGATTGGCAACTGTTATTTTCAATAGTGAAGATTACATTTAATAGATTGGCAATTACTGTTTTCAATAGTGGGGATTATTTTGACTAGATTGGCAATTGTCACTTTCAATATTGGGAATTATTTTTAATAGGTTGGCAATTGTTACTTTCAATAATGGGGATTATATTTATCAGATTGGCAATTTCTATTCTTAGTAGTGGGGATTATTTTTATTAGTTTGGCAATTGTCACTTTCAATATTGGGAATTATTTTTAATAAGTTGGCAATTGTTACTTTCAATAATGGGGATTATATTTAACAGATTGGCAATTTCTATTCTTAGTAGTGGGTATTATTTAAATTAGTTTGGCAATTGTCACTTTCAATAATGAGAATTATTTTTCACCGGTGAGATAATGGTGGCTGCTTTTTCTAATATGAAATTTGGAGGTTAAAAACGTATCGATGACAATCCTTGTGCATTTAAATTCGAAAATTTAAAAGAATTATAGTTGTTAATTAATTTGTTAAAAATTGTTAATCAGTTGATTGTTAAATTGTTAATGATTAAATTGTTAATCAGCATGACGTATTTTTATTGTATTGTACAAAGACCGTAATAATAGAAACGATTATTTTTAGTAGATTGGAAATTATTTCTTTCAGTAGTGAAACAATGTTCCGTCCTTCAATGGAATTTTCGTGCTGCGTCCGCGTAACTTTCTCCGAGACGAATTACCTTTTTCTTTTATCCCTAAAAAAGCATTTTGTTGACGGAAAATCTTCGGCTCAGCGAGACAAATTAGGCTTTCAATTTCGTAGAGCCATAGCCTTCTTTATTGCTGTTTATTCACGTTTTCCCGGTGAGATCGAACAGTGAACGTAGATCTAACGATCTACGGAGGTCGTAAGTCTCCGATTAAATCGTGTATGACACCGAGTCTGCGCGATTTCCTATGACTCTTTCGAGTGATACGGATGGTAAGTTGATAAAAAATGGTTTTAACATTGGCTGATATCAATAACACTATATTTTAACATAACATAACAATTTTTAACGCTAGGGTGACTAACTGTACTTGGCTTAGAATGAATTGAGTTGATGGTGAGACTATCGACGGAGTCTTGACCGAATTTTTTACGCGTTGATGTTTGGTTAGTATCCGTCCGTTCGTTGTCTGTTTTGTTTTTTAAGAATATTCGTTAGGGGTGTGAAGTTTTCAATGAGACACTCGGATTCAATGTTTGTTCAAGTTTTCCGGATCTAGAAAGGGAAGCGGTCGTTTTGAGTGATCGGTTAAAAAATTGTGAGCAAGGGAAAGGTGACCGCCCCGAACTAACAGTCACTTGCAGATATGAATCGTACCTGTGAGTGAATCTCGT